CATAGTTGTGAAGCAGCTGTTGTGACTGCACGAATCGTGGGCGCGGAGTAGTCAGCGATAATGTCTGTTAATATCGCGAGACGATCCAGCGACATGTCGTCTGCAGCGGCTAGGATCATTCTCATGCTTTCTGGTAGCTTTTGCAAGAAGAGCTCACGCAGAATTGCTTCATGAGCGTGGTTATGCGAGCCAAGCAGTTGACGTATCTGATGGAGGAGCTGTGACGGCCGGCAATCATCAATCTCTTGTGCGTTCAGTGTAAGGCATGAGGGCCAAGTCTTGGAAAGCAATTTAGAAAGTATATTTACATTATAGACACACGTAAAGTAGTAGGGCTAAGAGCGAGTTGGAGGCGGGTGGCTTGACTGGCTGAAGGCTCGACAAGCTCGCGACAGGCATCAGATAGTAACGCACGAGCGGTCCGGGCCGCGCACGAGGGCGGCTTCATTGTCTTCCGTCACCAGGCACGCTGAAAAAAGAAAAGGGGACGGAGGATACCACGCGCTCACATCAGCAGCTGTTGGATCCGTCAGCACTCAGTTGCCATTGTCCGAGCCAGGAGGACAGATTTTCGAGGGCCTTACGCGTCGTCGGATGGGCTTTTGGACTGCACGTCGTCAATTTCGTCTGCAACCTGACGTGGTAGGCTGGTGACGACATGATAAAAACGGGCAATCTGCGTAGGGATCTTTCGCAGATGGAAGTGCGCCTCCACTTGGGTAAACGAAACCTGGGGGTTTTTCGGCCAGAATGGTGGTAACTGCAGAGGGAAAGTTCCGGTCACTGCAGTCCCGGTTGATTCGTGAATGTCGACGTGTGGTTGAAGGATGGGTGGCCCGGTGTTGCCAGGTTGACGGGCGGCCGTGCCGCCAGTTTCCGGTTGTCCGTCATCGGTCATGATAGAATAGTTCAGTTGATCACGTCGGGGTCACCCAATCAATAGAGACGTCCGAACAGGTCGATGTCCGAAATCCAACTGGGCTTTTATTCTAATCATCTCGCGCTTCGACCTTCTCTTCTTTTACTAGAGATCTCAGTAGCGCGTGGCCACACAGCCTAATTCTTTCATAAAGTGTAGCTTCAATAATTACTCTAAAAGGGCAGGGGAAGTGCGGGACAGATTTGCAAGCTACTTCCACGGCCCTGGCGGTTTAGCATGACAAAGGACATGAAGGCTGGGCTAGATTTTGCCATCTGTAGCCTCCGCTGTAATTTTCTTTAACATAAGCAGCTTTAGTTCTTCACAGTCTTGGCCACTGTGTGTTTTTCTTTCAAGCGTCAAGCTTATGTTTGTAACACGAAATAAAAAAGTACAATAAAATATTTTGTTTGAAAGAACACATTTCGCCCAAATTGTATTAAAACTATGTAGGCCATAAAAATAAAAAGCATGAACCGAGCAAAAAAACAAGGCAAGCTAGATAAATGCACGAAACCAATTATAGCCGTACTCTTTCCATCGTTGATGTACCGTACTCTTTCCATCGTACTGGTACATAAAAACAATGTGTTTAGAGCATCAGATAACGTTTGCTGCACAAATTACAGCTGACACAAAGAACTTCACTAAATTTTGACCAAAATTAACTCTGGAAACCAACTTTCTTCCGGGACAAAACTTGGTGTGCGTGCTATAAACATGATCACTGACGCTGGACGAAACACATGACGGAAATGCCGCCTCCACTAATAAAGTGTGAATTTCCAGCTTCAACCTCTCCTTGCTTCCGTCATTATGCCTGGTTAGGAGTCGCTTCATGCTAAGGAGGAAAATCTCATCGCCATCTGTTGTTGCTGTTGGCTTCACTTCGCGTAGTCGCTGCCCATTTTCAATCAATGTAGCAACCATTAACGCATCAATATCAACTCGCCTCCTTTTGGGGGTTTGGCTTTTTCTATTCTTCGAATTAAAAGCGCGACTGCAACAGACCGATCTCACCTGGAGTTGCGCGACGCCACCGCTGCCGCGGTGCATTCTGGTACCTGTAGTTCTCCCCTGTTTTCCGGCCGCGTCAATGCGCATTGTACGCCACCCGGCGTTTGGAAATGTTCGGGTTAGCACGAGACTTATACCCGGGTGTTGGCTCATGATTTTCAATGGGTGGCTTCACCGGTTCTATGCCACGGTGCTACAATAACAGCTGCAGGCAAAAAGGCTTCGGATATTCAGTCTTCCCGAAAGAAAGCAGCGTGGCAAAGAAAGGTAAACAGAGCCGGACAGGGCGGCGGGAAAAATAGCGTTTTTCGATTTGTTTTGCGATTTGCTTCATAATTGACATCCAGCTATTCCACGCAAGCTAAAAAGCATAAGTTTACAGGGCACGAGACACAGAGCATGCCGAAATGTTTTGTACGTTGGAATCTCTCTGAGCATTCCCACCGCAGCGGTCTATCCGTTGGTCTATCTCCACTGCTTTGTTGAGACCGTTTTTAATACACTTTTTGCTCAATGTATTTTGTTGGTTATAACTGTTAATGCGACAGCATGTTGCAAGTACAACTGTGCTTCAAAAGGACAATCACTAAAAAATAGCAGCGATTCCTGATCACTTGAAATAAAACAACTTTATTCGGAAATAGCCTTTATTTTTTTTTCATACTAAATGTGAAAACATTACATAATGCAATTTACAAGTGCAACACTCACCGCCAAAAATGTAACAAACGAACCTCACCTATTTTGTTGCGGTCTATTAGGCTGGCGCTACTGATCCATCCTGCACTAGCATCAATCAAGACCGCAGAAATAAGCTTCCACCGTCGGGCGACTCTTAGCGTTCGGAGCTTGCGCAAACCAAATAAAACTGAATAGAAACTGTACACGAAAGACCCTCTCCACCCCAAGTGTTCAGCTATCTTGCATGGTTGCTTCTTTTTGACAGATGACAATTGTTGCGGCGCGCCAGGCATAGTTTTTCTGTGGATCATTTCTTCTGTGTTCAGGCTTCTCCCCGCAGTTCATCTGTACCCTGTTGCACAGGCTGTCAGAGTGAAACAACTTTTAGAAAACTATCGCTCATCGAGAAAGTCTATTTAGCTCCCTTTACGTCATTGTTAATTAAACGCTATGCACAAGACTGAGCAATTCCAAGCTTAGTTTTCACCAACACATTTGATGCTGTTCCGCAGTGCAACACAAAGCCGATGGTCCCTCGAATTTTCTTGTTCTTTGCCCTTTAACTAGATGTTCAGTTTCTAAGTTAACTGAGACGTCCGAGCAGCCGAAAAACTCTAGTAGTTGCGTCGTTGTTTTTCTACTGCGGCTGCAGTGGGACCACTGTGTGAACGGCAGTGTGCTCACGCGTTCACAAAGAAGCAGACGACGTCGAAGCAGACAACAAAGCGATTCTAAAACAATAAGACGACTGGACCTGCTTTTCTGCGCTTGCTGATAAACTAAGGAATCACAAACAACACGATCTTATGAAGTACAGACGTGCAGAAAAATCCAAACTGATACCGGGGCGTTCTAAACGGTTATCTACGATGTATGCGCAGCCCTACGTAGCCGGGAAGCCGGAAAGAGATGACTACAAGCAGCATGGCGGCGGCACCACTTCTGTAATGCGCGCGCCTGCGCAGTTCGCTTGGTGACATCGGTCTATTTTTGTGAGAAGGTACTGGCAATTCCCCAGCACAAACTTGGTAACGCTTCCCTGGCGAGATGAGCGGTTCTTGGATGTGCTGTTCGTTAGACGTTGACTCTGGTGCAGAGTCGTCAGCCAGCGCTGTCTCCTCACGACTATCCACGTGACAGGAGTTGAACAACATTTCGACCGACATGCTGGAGTCACTGCCCGGAGCAAACGCTCTGTCATCACGAATGTCCGCGTGAAAAGAGTTGCGCAAAGCTACGACGGATGCGCTCGAGGCGCCGCCTGGAGGTGGCGCTGGTGGAAGAGCAGTCTCTGTTGGCGCTTGGTTGGGCTTCCCTCCGATGTTGGAATTAGTGCTGAATCCTAAGAAATAAGTCATTCAATTTAGTTGGCCGCATCAGGCGTGCTCTCTGACAGGTCATGCAAGCCTTAGTGGACGTAGAAAGAGTTTTGCACAAGAAAAATATTTTCATTCGCTCTTCGCAAACACTAATGCATATAATGTTAATTGCTTAGAAGGCTTTCATGATATAATGTTCAGTTAAAATATAGTCAAGCGGCACCTAAATTAGACTTCAGCGAAACGGTATACAAAGGAAGTACAGGACTAATAGACCAAACAAGCTAGACTATTGTCAGTACACAAACAAACTGGACATAATAGCGTTAAGTAGCCCACATTATTCTGCTCTGGATCGCATCGGCGAGGAATTATTGAGCTACTTTTAATAAAATATGTATGGCACTAAGATATTTCTAATTTTAAATCTTCAAGGTATGGCGTAGGCTTTTTTAACTACGTCCATTTTGTTAATGTTTACCAACAATTTTTTAATAACTTAATCATATATTTTGCGGAAATATTCATGCAAATTCCAGACAGTTGTTTTAATAAAACAGTGGAAAACTTGCTCCTCGCTTTGATTCACCCCATACGTGTGAAAACGGCAGCCGACAGCTCGCTTCAAAACAACTTTTTGCAGACCTAAAAAATGAAAAAAACTTACGTTTTCGTACTGCTGAAAAAAAAAAACACAGCTGCACAAGGTCTCTTGCGGAATAACATCCGTTTCCAATATAAATACAACTGCTAATATCCGGTCCTTCAGCGCACATTCATGACCGCACGTGGAAGGAAATTTAGTTTTTTTAATGAAACTAAAACCCTTGAAGCTAAAAGGTAAACGTGAGTATTAGGAAAACAAAATACACGCCTGGTAAGCAACGAAGAGTATTTCTACGACTACGACCCATTCGTTTTTTGCTTATGCGGGGATTTATGTATAAAAGAGGGGAATTGGCTGTTGAGTGCCATCCAGTGGCGTGCTTGTAAACCTCTAGCCTCAAAAGGCGCTAATAGTATAGAAAATCGTTTAGGTCTTACTAGGCAAAAATTGTTAAGATATGGAATTACTAATGGTAGCTACAGCCATCATTAGTTGCTCCTCTTTCTTCACCAGGGCTGTAGGAGCAAACGGCTGCACTGACCCGAGAGGCTATCTAGCATTTAAGGTATGCCAATTAAAATTTTTCTGACATCTATAATTCTGAACATGCATATAGCTTTAAAGTGTAAAATCAGTAAATGAATTTTACCAGTATCGGTGGGGTAACTATTGGTATTATTTTTCTAGGCAATGCAGTCCACAGATAAAATGCATATGTTGTACACTGGCTTTGACGCATCTGTAATTGTGTGCACTTACGTAACAAAAATCAGTGAAGACAGCAGCACGATGTCCACAAGTGTCAACTTTACATACCAAATCAACGATCTTCCTGTCGTGTAAGTACCCTGAACGTTATTTTTTACTTAGCTACTGACGCTCATCGTTTTCTTTGAACCTTTGTGAAATATTGCACAATGATCTAATTGGCGAAGCATAAAACATTTACCAAGTTCCTCTAGGCAACATTCTCGCGAAGCTTCGTACAATGCGTTATGTGTTCCCACGTGTTTTACCACGACAGTGGCGAAGGCAATGGCAAAAGAGAAATTTTCATACAAGAAATTTATAAGAAGTTGTTTCTATAATATCGATGAAAAGGTGAATCCGAAAGTTTTAGGATTAGATGTAGTAATCTGACCAAAATTAATTTTAGTTCTGGAGGACCGTACAAGACTGATTCAACAGGAAAATATTTTATAGCCACCTCCGCATGACACTAGAACATTTATCTCTTCATATTTTTACATTTGGTTTGACGCCATGCAAGGTATAACCCAATGCACAGAAAGAAAGAAATGCCATGAACTTTGTAGCAGTGTGCTCACACATCTAAGTTTATAACATTATCTGAAAGGTACTGAAGAATTAAGATTTTAGATATGGTACCGCACCCACCTGACTCGCCCCCGTCAATAATTCCCGAGAAGCTATTTTAACCTTCCCACTCCAGCTTGGAACACATGGAGCGGAAGCCCTGCCCGTTTTAATACTGATGAGCAGCGTACCGGCATGCGGTCGTGTATCACTACTGCGTGGTGCACGTTGAAGACCCCAAACTAGCGGTTATACTACACTGACTAACTTGCTCATCTCCAAATGAGACACCAAACACACGTTGGGGCTGACTAACTTCCGGCTCTATAAACACACACACCACAGAATTCCTCATGCAATTTCTCAATTTTCTCTCCTTTGTGAGCTAGGCCGGGTTTTGTTTAAACAAAATAATTAAAAAACTGGTTTATGGATGACAATAAGAGCATTTGAAACAGCATTTAAACAAGTGTGTCCTCATGTTTCAGCTACACTGATTCTACTACCACAAAAGTTGAAAACTGCGAGGGACTCATAGGGATATATAATAATACCAGTAAGTGATATAATTTTTACATTTAACTTTGCAATTTGCAGCGTGCGTATGGTAAAATATTTTGATCATGCGCTCTTCAACGTTCACACGTAGCACAACCTATTTGCCAAGAAAATCACTTTTGACTGGAAATGTAGTGTCCTGAAAAGCCCCAAAACGCTAGGGCTCCGCGTTTTAAAATAAATCCGATAAAATGTGAGAAAACGCCACCGAGTAAAGTTTTCGTTAATATGAATTTGACCGAAAACTATACCTATCGATTAAAAAAAAAAGCAAAACAAGGCATTCTACGTATAAACCTGATCAGGACAGGGTCAGTTCTCAGAAGAGGCCTTTCCAGTTTTCGTTCAAATCTCGGACTATTGACAAAATAGAGTTTACCGTTTTACACAATAAGTTTTGTTCTGGACAACGGGTCATTACAATTTTGCACTTCAAAAAAGCCACCATTTTAGTTTTAAGTTTGGACCTTTTATAGGACGGCGTGGTTGTGCTGTTATTGCAGTGAAAGCTATATTCACAACTTCACTCCCCGCAGCCGCAAATAAAGCGTTAAAATGGAAGGGGAAGGAAATGAGCTATTAGGGACTACGTCAAAGATTTCAGTGCTTTTGAAATAACGAAGTTTGTAAAGCAACAATTTTGGGGCAAGTATTGTTGCGGGAGAGTCATTATTACCAACGGCTGTGTTGTCGCGGATGAAGGCGATGAGACAATGAATAATGAATTGAAAATGAACGTTCATTCTCCGAACTTGTGCTAAATAAAATAAAAAATGAGCGTCGAGGTAACAGAAAAGCGGCTGGCGATTTGGCGGCATAACAGGAAGCGAGAGCGAGACTGACTCGACAAGGTCGCGAGCCGGTGCTATCTAGTGTGCGTCGGCATCGCAAAAATTCGGCCCAGAAGGTTCGAGCGAGGAGCGTTCGAGGTGAAAATGAAAAGGCACAATCGAGAACAAGAAAGTAGAATGAAATGATCAAACATGTACGTCCCGAGTAAGAATGAACACGAACCTTTTTGAAGTCTGTGACCAAGCGTTGCTTGCTTTGCCCCGCGCACGGCAATATTGCACGAATACCCAATACAAATTAAAGCAACTTCCTTCCTTACGGGTGACTTATCAAAAATTTAGTGCAGGTTTCTGTCGGATATTTCTTGTATATTGAAGCTAAAGAAATATGGGCACACATCAGAGTTAAACTGAATTTTGAAAAATCTCTACTCTATCATTAACTCCAATAAACATCAAATTTTCGATAAAAAATTAACTGCAATAAAGCTTTATCCGAATTTCACTAGAAATAAACTCGAAAAACGCAGAATGCTAGCACCCTTAATTGTCGAAGGGTTAGGCTTCATTGCCCTTTAGAATCGGTTGTCATTTGGCTTATTTTGCCTCCGTCTCAAGAAAATGACAGGCGATTTTACTACTGGTCGTTCGGTTGTCACCTTGGCATTTTAGGCCTCAATTTCCAAACAAGCGTCATAATTAGGTTTTACTGCTGATTGATTTGTTGATGCATGGTAATGTTGGCTTATGTCTAGCGGTAAGGCAATTATGTGGCAAACTAGAAAAAAAACATGGGAAAGTAAACTTTGAGAGTTGCTAACGCCTTGCAGTATAAACTCATTAGTCCAAAATTAGGGATCCTAAAATTTTTAAGCTGGAACCAAGTAAAGTGATTCTCTGCGGTGCTGCTGTGATTTCTACATGATAGTAGGAACTGAAGTTTAAAATATTTATTAGGCCTGACAACATGTGCTTCTGGAGAAAAGAAGGAAACATGAATGTGATTTGTTTCTGGCGGGGAGTAGAGTTATTCCCAATATCTTAAAGAACCTGAAAGACGTTTGAACAGTTTGAGTTACAACGGTAGCTTATGAGCACAAGCTTAAGAGAATTTTTGCAAATAGTTAGATAAGCACATCTTGAAACCGGTGTATAACCATTTTTTATATGTTCAACGCTGTTTCATATATATGCACTGATAGTGTACCTAATCAAAATAATAACTAAATTTGAATCTGGCAGGTGTATAGTTTAGGCTTTTGGAACCCCTAAAAATAAGCTGGACATATTAGCGCAACAAATGACATATCAACGCAGGTGGAGAGAAAGTATCACAGGCTTTGGTATTGTACTCAAATTTTGGGACCTGCAATATCAATTTCAACATCGAACAACAAGGTAAGGTAGCAACTCAAATGCTTATCCCTAGTTTTCCGGTAAACATTCGTCCTTCCTTATGCCTGACGAATTAGGGTGACCAATCCACGTCATATATCATAATTTGCGACTTGAGTTCACATATCTGAAGGGAGACAAAATCGTCAGTAAAAAAAATAATTTAAGCGTGCTAGCGATATTTTAATTATTTCACAATTAATCATGATGCCTCTGGGCAAATTCTGCCGGCTACAATGTTAATCTTATTCAGATTGATTTCCTAATTCTAGAAATCTGTAGAGGCTACTATGCATTTCATGGCATGCATAGTGGTAGGTCTGAAGGGTGGTCAGGGTGATAATCATACTGCATTCGTTCATTGAAAACGTCATTAATTCAATCATGCAAATAGGTCGAGGTATGCACACAGGTACTACATAAACTCTTTTAAGATCTCTGTTGCTCATTTAGCATTATTTATGCTGAGCAAGTGTATTCATGCGAAACATACGTATTGAGATAAGTTATAACTAAGCAAGAAACAGACATGTTTCTGCAGACTGTTAAAATAGCTTTTTAAGCAAAAAAAACAACAAAAAAGGCCTTTAAAATAAAGAAATCTACCCGGGCCGTGCTTGGGACTGGACTCTCAACGGAAAATAAATTAGGAATCTATAGTCTGCCACAACAAAGCAGACGAAGAACACCTCATGTAAAGCTCCCCACATGCATTCCACGATTCATGGTTTGATCATCACTCGCCTCCTCGCCAGTGTTCGCTCCGCCAAAGAGAAAAGGGTCAAGGTCCTTTGTGGGTGGGACTTGTACTGCTATTTTCAACAGGAATTGGCTTTGGCACTATTAGAATATTTTAGGGGTTATTATTTTACCAAGCACTTGTTTGAGAAAGTTGTGTATTGTTATAACTCATGCATTTGAACGTACATGGCTTAACCTAGTCATGCGATTTTGTTAGGGCGGCTTCACTATACAAAACCTGTTATGTAACCGTCGGTGACACTTCAATCGGCAAAAGGAATTCGGAGAATTGTCACGGTTTTACTATGTCCTCCCTTAGACTAACTGGAAGCACAGCTTTTCGTCATAAGGGTGATGAAGCACGTAATGGAGGTAGTTGTGATAACGGTAATTGCTTAGGATTACCCAAAAACGAATTCACATGTAGGATTACCCTGTATATTATGTGAATATTTCATTTTTTTTTTCAGAGTGCCAGTTGTGGGCTTACGAAAACGCCACAAATGACGATATCCAGGAATGTCTTGTTACTTACAAGACTCTATGCGATGGAGAAATCTATGAGGTTTACAACTCCACCTGCCTGACATGAGGTTCCTTGCCTGAAAGGAAACACTTGAGTTTAATATAGACTTCAGTTATAGGGTTTAATCTTCGGAATACTAAACATTTTGGCTACTACACCATCACTTTGGCGTTCATTTGATCTAACACGGAAGACAGCAAACCAGTACTCATAGCTCTTTCATTAATAAAATTTGTGCTTTTATTTTACTGTGGTCTCTCCTCACTCTAGATAATCTTAGAGAAGTTGTTAATAAGTTTTTCAATAAAAACAGAAGAGATGGGCAAAATTTTTTGAAATGTTGTTGGTTTCTTTTGCAAAAAGCAAAACTACGTGTAGGCCAGCGCTCAGACCCCGCCAACATGTAGCGGTGGTGGTTCGGAGCGGATGGGGAAGTTTTAAAGCTTTTCGTTTTCGGCTACAAAGTTTAATCAGTTTTTGCCAAACTTCACTGGAAAATGGGGCCCCTTGCCGGCATCTGGTGCCCCTCATCTCCATCTTTTCATGAGCAATACTGTGCCTGTTTGAGGTAAAGTGATGTGTTTAAAGGTAACTTTTGCAAAGTCGCGAATGAGTTTGAGGTTGTTTGTTTTAGCAACAAAATATAGAGGCGCTGTGGAGGTGCTGTTTATATAACAGCCAGGAGAGGGAAAACGTTTCGTGGGACCCCACTCGTAAAAACAGTGGTGTCGGGTGACCGTCGATTGATCTCGGGAGTCTGCGTTCACAGCCAGACCGAAAACACGTACGTGGTTTTATATGAGAACTCGTATGAACACACGTACTTAGGGCCAACATTAAAAGTGTTGGCAAGTGAGTACAACGGTAAAAGGAAAATCGTTTTGGCGCATCTCTTTTAGGTTCGCTGCTTTGTTTGCATACATTTCTGTATAAATAAAGAGTTATCGTTCAGTAGGCCGAGATTTTAAATTCGCCCTTTTTGTTCCCTTCTTATTTATATTTATTCTCTACTTAACAACACACAGTTTTGTATTTTTAGCACCCTTCGTCGGTGATCTATATCGGGGTTTATAATTTACGAAGTACTCCCGACATAGCTAATGTACAACCAGAGAGAGAGAGAGAAAACACGCGGCATTAAAGTCACAATAGTAAACTACGGATGTGAGTGAAACCACGAGGCCGAACTTTCTCTATGAGGAAAACGCTTGTTTGAACTTGAAAGTGAACTGTCTTTCAAAACCTTGCACATTCATCTTCAAGCCATGGCGAATGTTTTTAGCTCGAAAAAAAGGTTCCGTGTCGACTACTTGAGATACATAGGCGAACGATCTACCCCAACAGGCGTTATCGTTATGTCACCGACTTCGTCGTAGATGCATTGAAGATCCTGCCCCCTTAAAAGTCGGGGGTGTTATGATGACAAAAGTGCTCTGCAAAACTGCTTCACAGATGCCGGTGAGGAACATTCAACTCCCCTTGCTATAGTGATCCAGGATCAAGCTCCCCAGCAAGCTTCCTCGAAGAGTACGAAGTAGTCACAGACATGAATGCGGATATTTCCGCTGCTGCGATTGGGATAACTCATTTGCGCATGCCGTCGGTAAATCCAAAGAACCACCTGTCATAATGCGTTGAAAGGAAGCATCGAGAAATGAAGGAATTTTACAGCCAACAAGTACTGAAAAGGTTGGCGACAGAATATGACTCGGAGGCGAGTGGTCAAGTGCTCAAGTGCTCGCAGTGATCGCACATGTTTGGGCTGTGACGAATGGTGGGAGAACCTAAGGGAGACCATTGTTAAGACACGGTCTTACCAAGAAAAAATGCCAGGTTCTCACGCTTGTGCCCGAAAGGGCAGCCGCTAGCGAGGTAGCACGACGAATTCCTTTGGCATCCAGATACATCCTGAGAAAATGAAAGCAATGATTTTAAACGTTACGGCGTATGGGAACGTCCGGAGCCGTACCATGGAGAAGGCATAAGTGAGGACATCCTACGGTCGGCCACGGTGTACTACACAGACGACGATCTTGACTATTTTCGGCAGAGTTCAAACAAAAAAGAAGCTCTCGAGACTATGAGAGACGGGGAGCCACAAGTGATCATTAAGCGTTACATGACTAGGCCAATTCGAGAGGCGCACCAGCTGTTTCGGGAGGCGAACCCAGAGTCGAAATTAGGATGGACTAAAGGCTACTATCAGCTTCCGAAATGGGTGAAACTGAATCCCGAACAGTTTGCTTGTGCGTGTGTCCCTATTGAAAATTCCATCAAGCTACGTAATTTGGGACACTGACTGCCAGTCAGCAGCCTTGGTGGAACGTGATGGACCATCAGACGTCATCTGATGGTCCATCAGATGACGTCTGACTGCCACTGCCAAGGGAATTTCATCAACAAGGGCAGCATTTATATAAGAATAAAGCTATACGCACTCATAAATATCGCCAAATGCCTCGATAAAACAAAATGTTCAAGAAAAAAAAGAAAAAAAAAAAAAAAGCAGGAACACCGCGGATCGAACCCGCGACCGTTTGCTTACAAATCGAGCACCTTAACGGCTATGCTACGCACCGCTAGAGACACTCGATTTGACTATTCGTTTTATGCGAGATGCTTCGGCTGCAAATGCAGTTAAGCTCTCAGCATGTTGTGCAAAGCACTCGTACAGCTGCAACGGAAAAAGAGTGGCACAAGTCACCGACGACCGGAGCGGCAAAATCGCGTCACGCGGCGCTATCGTTCCTGAGCGCGCCGATAGCGAGTGTGCCAGTCACGTTGCATCTCTCAACGCGGGGGGGGGGGCAGCTGACAGAAATTTAAAGTATGAGATACCTTTCGAAGTGCGGGCTTTAGGATGGGCTGCGTTCTGCCGGCCACCCCCGCGTTGACACATGGAACGTGACTGGCACTCTCGCTATCGGCGCGCTCGGGAACGATAGCGCCGCGTGTCGCGATTTTGCCGCTCCGGTCGTCGGTCACTTGTGCTACTCTTTTTCCGTTGCAGCTGTACATCACTTGCCGTACTTCAGTTCTACTCACCTGCCATGTAGAGTACTTTCGCGTCGTAGAACGATCCTTCTGTTCGCGCGTCATCGGCCCACTAGACCTGGTACACCTTGTCGTCTTCAACTACACCGCCATAGTCCCTTACATCGCCGGAACTCACAACAGGCTGGGTCTTGTCGAGTAGAAATTCTACTAAAACATAAGACATTGTAGAGCCCGGGCAGGATCGACAAGTTGGAGCAAGCGGGCAAATGAAACGAGTCGAGAGCGATCGTTCATGAAAGCTCGACGAAGCATTTATGGGCGAAGCGAAGTGCGAAGTATCGTGTTCGGCACTTCGGCGGGCTTCTGATCAAGGTTGTCGGTCGGTTGCGTGTCATATCTCTAACGTCAGCGGTTTTATGGGCTCACGTCCCGAAATCGTTTTCTCGTGCATAGATTACTTTTCGTATTCATAGATTTGACGAAATAGTGGTATCCGAACGAACTTTACGTCCTTTGACCGTACTTCTGTCTGCACGTTAAAGCTTTCTGACGTACAGTCAGAGACAATCGATGTACAGTCAGAATCACCACCAGGACATTCTGATGGCATTTCGCGGCGGCCGACTGCCACCAAGAAACCATCAGAAAGCCGACAAGCCGGGGTCTGACTGGAGTTTGAATGTCGGTCAGAGTAACTTGTTGGCCAATCAGACATGCTTGACGTACAGTGAGGCACAGTCAGCGGTCCACTAGAAACCATTTACTGCCAAACAGCGTTACATTGATGGATTTTTCCTACGGGGTGCGCTGCACAATCTTTGACTTGTGTGTCTCTACCCTGAACAGACAACAGGAGGGAGAATTAAATAGGAGGATATTGTGGCTTTGTGCCTTTGCCCTGAGTCTACACCCCAATGTTAGCAGGGCAAATGAAAAGGGTGCCTTGACGATGATCGCCACTCCGCGCAGGCATTGCAGCTTGTTAATGAAGAGGTACTCACATTTTTCATATGGGAGTGTGATAATTTGGTAAACAAAATTGCCGATTCCAGAGCTTTCCTAAAATAGCTACAAAAATGGGCCACGAGGTTTTCGATCCATGATTTCATAAGAAGAACTCAAGGGGAAGCTATACGACTGGGGAAAACGAAAGTGACATCTAAACACTTCGTATTGCATTTTAACTTCGCACAGAACTGGACTGTAATTCTGCCTAAGGAGGTACAGAAGTATCACTGGCATAAACGTCAGATATTCATATTCACGTGTGCCGCGTCAACATTCCAAGGTCCCAGATGTTTCGGCGGCTTCGGTGAAGACTTGTGCCACGATAGTCGCGATGCACTACTGGCTCTCAGACGTATCGAGGACTGGCTGGAGGAGCACATTCTAGTGATTGCGCCAAACACGTACGTTTCCGACGGGGCCCCTGCTCATTTTAAAAAAATAAATTTCAACTGTACGTGTTTGAACGAGCATGTCACCTTCAGGGGACGTGGCTATTTTCTGCTTCCGGACATGACGAGAACTCTTGTGATGGAGTTGAGGGCATGTTGAAACATCACGCGACAGCGTACAACCTCCGTTGCCAGGACCATGCGGCAATCCAGACATCAATCGACTTCGTGGACAAGGTTGGAATGCACCTGAGAAACGTGGCACTTCTGAACTTGAGCGAAAAAGAAGTGACTGTGTTCCGAAAAATCACGAGAGAAGAGTGAGACTGCGTGCCAGCTAGGGCAGGTTTTCGCTCTTCACACGTCTGGAAGCATGATAATGAAAGCGTGCATCTGGAGCGAACTCATATTTCTGAACTTTAATGTATATACGGTGCTCAGTGACTTCAGTAGTGCATATGTAGATGTTTGTGAACACTCTAGGGTATGCGGCCAATGACTTGGGCAAATATTTCCGAGGACACCTAACGATTTGTGAAAACAATTACATAGGTTCATTGTATGTGTGCTCATTGAAGCTATAATCAGCACTCGTCAAATAAAGTAATTTGTAAAAAAATGTTACGTACGGCTGCTTCTTTGTCTTTGTGCATACATTCTCAACAGCGGAAC